GCTGACCATACCTGGGAGCCGGCAGCCACAACCACTCAGTCTTGGAAGGGTTGAGCCTGAGTCTGTTTCTCCCCATCCAGACCCGTACGGCCTCCAGACACCGGGCCATCACGTCAAGGGCATCATTGGGGTGGCCTGGGGTGGAAATGTACAGCTGAGTATCATCAGCGTACTGATGGAAATCCACCCCAAAGCCACGTTGAAAGAAACTTTTTATTATCCTTGATTTCTGTTGCAAGTTTTTGTTCATTCTGAGCCTTTGCTTTCCTGACTTCGTCTTTGCATGTTCTGGCTGTCTGCTAATAATCGGTTATTTGTCCCTTTTTCCATTTTTTTGTACTTATCCTTTTTGTCATTCAGTTTGTCAGAAGAATCTTTGTGCAGCCATTCTGGTTTCTTCATGAATTTCTTGTTTTTCTTTTTCTGGCTTTATGATCGCATTTTTCAGTGTTTCCCACGTTTCTTGAGTTATTTTCTGCTTTAGGATTTTCGTTCATGGAATCTTTCCTAGGTTCTCTCTGAGTTTGTTAAAATCAGCTCTTGAAGTTTAAGACACTGGTTGGATTATTTTCTATTGCTTCTGTTTGCATTATATTGAATTCCAATATGACGTGGTCACTTTCCCCCAAAGTTCCGGCAACTTCAACTCCCTCTATCACTTCTCTATTAATAAAAATTAGGTCCAATGTAGCTTTACTTCTAGTTCCCTCCTCCATCTTTTGGATGATAAAGTTGTAGGCTAGGTTGGTTAGGAATCTGTTTGATCTCCCACTCGCTGCAGACTTTGTCTCCCAGTTGATATCTGGATAGCTGAAATCTCCCATTACTAGTGTGGTATGCTTCCCACACACATTTTTGTTAACTGGTTGGCAATGAGTTCATCTATTTCTTCCTTTTTTATAAGTGTTTTATTGATTTTTTATTATTACAAATCATAAATGCTTAGTAAACAAACATGATGTCCGGGTACATTTGTTACTCAATGTTGCATCTTAACTTCAGTATAAATCTATTCAATACTACACAGTCCAGTGGTTTTTGGGGGATTTTTTATTGGTTTTGTGTTCTAGAGATTCTAAAGATTGGTCACCCTTCCCCCTCAATTTTAGTTTAAAGCCCTCCTGATGAGTTGGGGCAGTCTTTTCCCTGTTTTTGTGAGGTGCAGCCCATCCTTTGCCAAGAGTCCTTTTCGTAGGAAATGCAGTCCATGGTCCAGGAAACCAAAGTTTTAATAGTTTTTTTTAATAGCTTTAATAGTGCGAGAACCTCTTTTATTTCCCCTGTTATTCTTGGTGCTTCTGCTGTGGGTGGACAGTCCTGGGTGCCAGAGGCCTGGATTAGTTCAAAATCAATTTGCTGAAATCATCCTTAGAATGCAATGAGATGAGGGAGACCTCATGTAGTGGATCCTTCCTTTCTCTCTGGGGGCTCCTGCTTGTCTTCTCTGATTGCTTCCCAGGCAGCAACTCTTCCCCTCCTCCCCCAAGGTCATCCACAAGTTCCATTGCAAGAAACATGTGTAAATCTGTGAGCTTCTATGTGGTACAGAAAGGTAGTTATGAAATAAAAGCTCCATTGGGGAAAAGAATTGAGCTTAAAGCAGCGTCTGCCTTTCCTTTCCAGAACTCAGAATGAAGCGAAGAACCTCCGATAGAGGTGGTGGGGAAACATCAGCCAAGGTTCTCTGCCCAGGGATTTCCAGCAGTAACACCAAAAGAGCTGGGCCTTTCATTCTTGGTGAGTAAGAAGAGATTCTTGCCTCGGGATATTGCAACTAACCAGCTATTCAGTGCTGTAAGATCATCAGACATGCAGAACGTTTCCTTTGCCTAATGAGTTCTGTCATGAAACAGGATGAAATTCCTGGTCCTTGACAGACAATATATTCAGCCAGGTTGCAGCACTGCAGAACTCCTGAAAGGTATCCCAGCCTCTTTTCATCACCAGATGGTGTGAGGATTGGAGCCCAGACCCAATCCTGTCTCTAATCTCAGCATTTGGGAATAAAGATTTTGAATCCCTTTCTGCTGTGGTCACTGCCGGCATAATTGTCCCTAGTACCCCAGTGCGGCTGGCTCATCAAGAAAAGGCTGCACTTTCTCAGAAAAGAGGGCAACATGCTACAGGGTTTGCACTTTCGTGTGACACTTCTGGCTTCAGTTTCAGAGTAGATGGCCACGGCATTCTCCTGCTCTTGTGCTGAGCTGGGAAGGACACATTAGGGCCATCACCATTTCAGCTTCTTCTTGGCCATCTCTGTGGCTTAAAGAAAAACACATCTTGCTGAGCAGAGAGGGAGCTTCTGGGGATAAGCTAACAAGGCAGATGTTCTATTTTTATGTTCCTAGGCCCACGTTTAGGCAACTCCCCAGTGCCAAGCATTGTTCAGTGCTTGGCAAGAAAGGATGGGACAGATGACTTTTATCAGCTGAAGGTAAGAAGCAGTTTCCCAGAAATAACTGACATGAAAGAGAGACACAGTGTTTAAATCCTAAAGTTCTGCTGAACTGCAGAGTCTGTGAAGGTGGGATTGAATGCAGCGAATATTAAGAGGAGCCCTGGTGGTGCAATGGTTAGAATGCAGTATTGCGGGCAAACTCTGCCCACAGCTAGGAATTAGATCCTAATGGGGCTTAAGGTTGACTTGGCCTGCCAGCCTTCTGAAGTTGCTAAAATGAGGACCAGATTGTTGGGGGCAAGATGCAAATAATGCTTTGACACTGTAAACCACCCAGAGAGTGCTGTAAAGTGCTATGGGGTGATATATAAGCCTAACTTAGACTTATATACCGCTTCACAGTACTTTACAACCCTCTCTAAGCCTTTTACAGAGTCAGCATATTGCCCCCAACAATCTGGTCCTCTAAATGCTATTGTAAGAAGGGAGTGGGACAGGCAAGGCCTGGTCAATCTTCTGTGGAAAATCAGTATGCAGTGGTGGCAGCATAACTAAAACATTGGTGGTTTTCCTCAAGTGAGGCGCAGCCCTTTCAAGGAAGGATGCCTTCTGCAGCTGTCCAGTCCCCAAAGCCACAGCAGCCCCTTTTACCTGGTGATGCTTTTCCAGAGGGCTCAAGTCTTTCCTACACCTTCTCTGAGTTGCCTGCTGCTGCTGAGGCTAGGGGTCATAAAAATAAGATGTGAAAACTGTTACCTGCCCTAGAACCATTAACGTCCAAATTCCTCTAACCTCCAGGCAGAGCAACAGGAAGAGTGTTGGGGAAAGGTGTACCCCCTTTGCTTGAGCCAGACCAAAAAGGGAAATTGGGCCTCCTTTATTTATGATGTCAACTTTGGGCTCCAAGGTGCTCTGTGCCCTGCTGTGATTTTCTGTGCATTGCATTGCATTTGAGACTGGCCTTTCTGACTTTTACTGTCTTGAGCTGCTTTTCCTTTGTTTCATTCACAAAGATCCTCACCTTGGAGGACAAGAATGACCATGGCACAGAAACCCAAGAGGAACGTCAGGGCAAAATGCTGCTGCACACAGAGTTCTCTCTCCTCTCTCTCCTGCACAATCAGGATGGGGTGGTCCATCATCATGGCCTTTTCCAGGTAGAAGTTGGATCCCTTCTCTAAACAGCATTGCTTGCTGGCTTCCCAGCACTGACATGGTGGAGCCTTGAGAGGCCTGTTTTTTTAAGCCTTCAAATGGCGGAGCCCATGTTCATTGGTTTTGGGGACATTGTGGTTTTGATGTCATGTGCTGCTTGCAGAAGCTGCCACAGTCTCAGTCCAGCTCCTCTGCCTGAGACTGTTAGATTCTGGCAATCAAATGCCCCTCTGTGCCAGTTTAATCATAATTGCCTAAGCAAGGCGGGGGATGTCCTTGGGGAGCTTTTGGCAAGTCTGGGGCATGCTTGCTGGGAAGAATTGTACGCTTCCAGTAAGACAAAATATTTCTGCACCTACCCACTCTTTTCAGAAATCTATGAGAATTTCATTAATGGTTGTAAAGAACAATTTTGCACTGGTACAAAACCTACAGTTATGGCCCTCATGGAAGCAGCAAAAAGCGGGCTTGTGTCTAATCAATGGGTAGGGTGGGTTTCTCCCTGCTCAATTAACACTGGTCCCTGTGACTTGGGACTATGCAGGACAGAACCTGTGAGCTGGTGGAAGAACTGGAGTCCAATCGGATGATCCGAAAAATGAGGAAACGTATTTGTTTAGTGTTGGACTGCCTCTGTGCCCATGACTTCAGTGACAAGACAGCTGATCTCATCAATCTCCAGCACTATGTCATCAAAGAGAAGCGGCTTAGTGAACGAGAGACCATTGTCATCTTCTATGATGTTGTGCGGGTGGTGGAAGCCTTGCACAAGGTACCATGTTTCTGCACTTATTCCACAGTATGGTAGCAGCCGTGTAATGGAGTGCACACCACCCCCAGAATCTTGCACGGCTAGAAGAATGTTGCGGTCAGGGCACCAACCCTAAATTTTATTGAGAGTCATTTCTCACCTGCCTTGGCAGGAGCCAAAGAACAGGAGCCAGAACTGAGCAGGGCTCTTCTCTCGGGGGATTCAATCACATGCTTAGTTTGGGTCTTCTGCATTGGGCAGAATAATCTCAGTTGTTCTAATTGCAGGATTGTTTTATTTTTGCAGAAGAACATTGTGCACAGAGACTTGAAACTGGGGAACATGGTGCTAAACAAAAGGTGTGTTCCTTTTGCAAATTGCTCGGCCATGGGGTTGTTGAGGGTTCCCAGAGTGTCTTCACTTGTCCTTTGCAAACAGCTGGGGAAGTGGGTAGCAGGGCAGGTCTTCTGCAGAGACCCCCTGAAAAGTTTCAACTGGTCTACCATGTATAGCCATGTCCAGGGCAGATGGCATTTCTCCTGTACACACCTCTTTTTGTTCTCTGGTGGGCAAAGGTCCAAGAATGGATGGCATTTCCATCAGGGGCAGTTGGTAGTACTGGAAGAGGGTGAGGAGATGTGTCAGTCAGCTCCCCAGTCAGAAATTTGGAGGTTGGTACTGTCATTGCTCTAGTGACTCTGCAGCTTGTCCTTGGTGCAGACAGGCAGAAACGTTATTTCAGCCATTGACCAATAAAAGTGTATTCAATAAAATGAACGGCACAAAACTATCCCTTAACAACAAGAACTAATAGGGTGACTGGGCTAGCTACTCTGCCAGCCAGAAGGGAGAGCAGGCTAGCTAGTTGTATTTCACAGAGCCTAAATGCAAGAGGCTGCCCATCTCCTGTCTTCATTATGCCTAGACAGATTGAGGAATGTATCTGGGCAGCAGTTTTTGTGCATCATCCTAAAAGCATTTTAAGGGTTCAGCAGCAGCCTTCTGGCCTGTTCTCATTCACTCATGGGGAAAGTACCCCAAAGTTCTTTCAAGACTGGGTGGAAAGAGCTGGTCCGGCCTCCAGCCAGATAGTGAAAGTTCCTGAATGCATGCAGCTCTCTGGCCTTGGAAAGGAGGCTGAGTGGGCTTAGTCTGGGTATTCTGAGAGGCTTTGGGGAAGTTAGAAGCTATTTCTTAGAGGTTGGAATTCACCACTTGTGTGGGGAAGCAGGGCCCAAAAGCTCTTAGCTCCAGGGATACTCTTTGTTCCAGCTTCAGAAAGAGATACTCATGCAAACTTACTTTGGCTTCTGCCACCTACAGCTTTTTCTAACCTCACCTTTCTGACCCATATTTTGCCCATGTCCAGGTCGTTGCTGCAATGTGTTCTGTGAGAAAGCTGTTTGGAAAAAGCAGCTGCTGAGTTTTTGACCAGGACTCATAGATTTGAATATACTGGCCAGAATTGATAGCTTCTAGAATTGTCAAGTAGTTTGAGATCAGGGAACCTGAAGCTTCTTCCTTCTGAGCTTGATTATGACTTCTTTTATGCACTTACCTGGATCAGGGTTGGCTCCTGAGAAAACTGGACCTTGGTCTGCTTCTGGGCACCACAGTCTAAAACAAGATGGACAAAGTTGACCATGTTCAGAGAATAGGTACCACAATGAAGGAGGGAATGGAAACCCTCTGAGGAATGATGAAAGCAATGGACCATGTTTAGTTTGCAGAATAAAAGGATGAGGGGAAGCCTCCTACTGTCTTCTGACATCTGAAAGGCAAGGAAAGGGAGGGAGTTCTCTATTGCTATGAGAGCAAGGTCAGAGCCAACGGATTGAGCCTGCGGGAAAGGAGGAATTTCCTGATGGCAAAGAGCTCTCAGCTGGCCTTCGCTGGAGGACTTCAGACAGGCTAGACAGCAATCTGCAATGGATCCTGCATTGAGCACAAGGTCGGATTGGTCTCTGAGATCTCTTCCAACTCTATGATTCCATGGAAAGGGTCTCTTTCTGGCAGCACGTGAAATTTGGAACATCTTTGTGGCTGAATTTCATAAACAATCTTGGATTGCAGAAGTTTGGTTTGGTGCATTTGATTGTTTGGCTGCCTTCTCTATCCTCTTTTCTCTACAGTGATTATGGGTGTTTTCTTGGTTTTAATCCTGTAGCTACAAAAAAAACCCTCCTGTGGTAGATAGAAGGGAATATAAGATAACAAATTCACTATTGCTTAGCAAATTTCCCTTGTTCTGCTTTATAGGAAATCCATCCTAATTCTGTATTTGCCTGAGTTGGAAGATTCTTTCCTTTTTTCAATTTAATAATATTTTAATAATAATAATAAAGTTGGAAGGGACCTTGGAGGTCATATAGTCCAACCCCCTGCTCAGGCAGGAAACCCTATACCATTTCGAACAAATGGCTGTCCAGTCTCTTCTTAAAAACTTCCAGTGTTGGAGCATTCACCGCTTCTGGAGGCAGGTTGTTCCACTGGTTAATTGTTCTAACTGTCAGGAAATGTCTCCTTAGTTCTAGGTTGCTTCTCTTTGGTTAGCTTCCACCCGTTGCTCCTTGTCCTGCCTTCAGGCGCTTTGGAGAATAGCTTGACTCCCTCTTCTTTGTGGCAGCCCCTGAGATATTGGAACACTGCTATCATGTCCCCCCTCGTCCTTCTCTTCATTAAACTAGAGATACCCAATTCCAGCAACCGTTCCTTATCTGTTTTAGCCTCCAGTCCCCTAATCATCTTTGTTGCTCTTCTCTGTACTCTTTCTAGAGTCTCAGCATCTTTTTTACATCGTGGCGACCAAAACTGGATGCAGTATTCCAAGTGTGGTCTTACTAAGGCATTGTAAAGTGGTATTAATACTTCACGTGATCTTGATTCTATCCCTCTGTTAATGCAGCCTAGCACTGTGTTGGCTTTTTTGGCAGCTGCAGCACACTGCTGGCTCATGTTTAAGTGATTGTCCACTAGGACTCCGAGGTCCCTCTCACAGTTACTACTATTGAGCAAGGTACCCCCTATACTATACCTGTGCATTTGGTTTTTCTTGCCTAAATGTAGAACCTTACTTTTTTCACCATTGAATTTCATTTTATTAGATAGCGCCCAGTGTTCAAGTCTGTCCAGATCCTTCTGTATCTTAAGCCTGTCTTCTGGAGTGTTGGCTATTCCTGCCAGCTTGGTGTTGTCTGCAAATTTGATGAGTTACCCATCTATCTCGTCATCCAAATCATTGATGAAGATGTTTTAAGCTAATGTTAATTGAGATAGAACACCAAAATATTTGTTCTAGTATTAAGTCTTCCAATTTAATTCTGCTTTTAATTCAGAATTAAATTGATGGTCCTTCTCTCAAAGAATCCTTTGAATTTATGTGACAGCAATTTGACATTATTCCTTTTCTAAAGTTCTGAGGAGTCTGGCAACTTTTACCCAGCTGTATGAAATAGAAACAAATTTATGCATGCCCTGCTTCTTACCTCAGGTATGAGGAATGATGGTGCAGGGGATTTTCTGGCTCTGTCGATATTAGCCTTCCCTGTTTCCCCAGTGCAGCATCCAGGATTCTCTTCTGCACCCTGTTCCACTACAGGCTCTCAACACCCCCAGGAAACTGAAGACTGAAGGACTGGATCAAGCCCAAAGATCTTTTGGAGAGCTTTTGGGCAGACCTAGCTCTCTAAAGTTGTATAAGTCAATTCACAATCACAATACTTACCAGTGGAGGCTATTTGAATTTGGTAGCATTCAGATATAATCAGTAAGTTAGTACCATTGGTCTTGAAAGCTGTCTGGGTGCACCTCTATCAGGACTCTGCTTACTTTTCATAAAATCATTGAATTGTAGAGTTGGAAGGGATCACAAGGATCATCTGCTCCAACCCTCTGCAGTATACAAAGAGATCAGTTAAACCGACTGTCCGAGTTGGTTACCCAGCCTCTTAAAAATCTCCAGAGACTCAAAACCCATAACCTCCATTGGTAGACTCTTCCACTGTTGTACGTATCTTATCGTATATTTAAATGAAATCTAGGTAACTACAGCTTATATTGGTAATTTCTGACCTAGTTTGGGGGGTCATAGAAAACAGTTTATAACTCTTTGTGGCTCACATACCTGAACATAGCTATCACATCTTCGCTGTGTGAACATCATACATTCCTTCAGTCTAGGGCACATTTCAGGTTCTTTTATCGCCTTCATTGCACTTCTCTGAATTCTCTCCAACTTGTCTCTCCACTTCCATTTTAATTCTGTCTTTGCTTCAGGACCCACCGAATTACGATCACCAACTTCTGTCTTGGGAAGCATTTGGTGAGTGAAGATGACCTGCTGAAGGACCAGCGGGGCAGCCCTGCCTACATTAGTCCTGATGTCCTCAGCGGTAAGTAGCGTCCCTTTCTCAAGGATGTCTCTAACAACCCTTTTCTTTGCCCCGAGGGCTTCCATTCCTTTGTGATGCTGCTGTCTCCCCTCTATTCCATTTTCTGAAACCGGAGGCTCTTCCTAGGCACAGCACATTTTGGGTGTCTGGAAGTGGGTGGATTTCCAGAATGAAGAGCAGACCTATTTCTAGCTTGCTCCAGACAGAGCTACAATTGCTCTGAAACCTTTTTCTGGGCTGGCTGGTGGTCTAGTGGATGGAAAAGAGGTCCCGCTCTTTATGACTGGGAGAGAAGGGGAAAGAAGAGCACTGGCTATCTTTACTTCTTCAGAAAACTTGTGGCTTGGGGCAGGCCTTCTACTGCAGAAAGAGTGTGAGCTCAACTGGCTGGGTGGTTTAGCTCCTGCTTCTTAGTGGGTGCCTCCTCTGCCTGCAGGTCGGCCATACCGTGGCAAGCCCAGTGACATGTGGGCGCTGGGAGTGGTCCTCTTCACCATGCTCTATGGACAGTTTCCCTTCTACGACAGCATCCCTCAAGAGCTCTTCCGCAAGATCAAGGCTGCTGAGTACACCATCCCAGAGTGAGTGAAAGCAGGCCTTGATCCTCCAGCACCCCCGTCTCCCTGAACCACCATTCTTTCTGGCTCTGGGGGTTCGGGCACCTGCCATTCCTCTAGCTCTTCTTCACTGTTCTCCAGCAGGGATGGGAGGGTGTCCGAAAACACCGTGTGCTTGATCCGGAAGCTGCTGGTCTTGGACCCTCAGCAACGCCTGACAGCCTCGGAAGTGCTCGAATCCCTCAGCTCCATAATTGCATCCTGGTGAGTGGGGAGGTGGGATATGAGGGCGAGGCTGCAGGGGCTGCCCTGTATGTGGAGAGGTGGTTTGGAGTGGCTCTGCCCTGCATGCCAGCCCAAGCTTTGCCAGATGGAGGGTGGGTTGGATTGGGTTGCCCTTCGTCCGTCCAAAGTGGACTGTTTGAAAGAGAATCCTCTGGAGTGCTTCCTGACTCTCCATGTTTGACAGCACATGTTGGCAGCTCCCTTGCTTTGCCTTTTCCTGCCATTTTCTGCCTCTAACAAAGGGCCTCACTTGAGATCCTGCCTTTGCAGAGATCTCAACTAAGAAAATTGGAAGAACTACTCCTGGGGTCTCCAACCAGGTGGCTGAAGGAGATTCAGTTCTAGATGCATTTGTTGTTGGAGAGCACAAATCGAAGAGATGATGGTTGCCAAACTGGCTGGCCTTTGATCATTTCTGGCCTCTTAGCTCTTCTTTGCCAGTCTTTGGGTTGCTGTGGTGAGGGCATCATCTCAGCTCTGCAGTGTGAACTGAAAGATGCTACACTTGATCTCCCTCCCCCATCCTGATAGAGAAGCGCCCCTAGGATAATGAGCTGTGTTGTGGTATGCCTTGGGAGCACTTGCTCCCCTGCGCTCTGGTGTGCATTATGACACTCCCTGGGCTGGCTGGGAAAGTCTCTCCGTGGGCTGGGCCAAACATCGGAGTCCAGTGACATCCTGGCTGCTCCTAGCAGGAGCCTTCACCCTGCTGAACAGCGAACCTTTGTCTCCTGCAGGCAGTCCATGTCCTCCCTCAGTGGGCCCTTGCAGGTAGTGCCCGATGTTGACGATCAGGTGGTCAACCCAGAACACGCGCATGAGGTAAGATATGCCATCCCCGCCCGGAGAGGCCTTGTGGAGGGTCTCAGACTGGGCATCATCCCAACTGCTATTGCAGCTCTTGAGGAGACGGTCTGGTCTGTCTTGTTCTGAGCTTTTTCCAGAAGCTTCTTCCAATCCCTTATGGCCCCCTCTGTGCCATGTATCTGTCTGCGTGTGTTTCTGCAAGGAAAGTGATGAAAGCATGGGATGATCCAGCTCAGGATTGGCCTCATTTCTGTATCTTTTGCTGTCCTGACTCATCTCATAGGCTTCTCCCTTTGCTAGTCTGACAAACTGTCAATGCAAACTGGTATTTTCTATTGCCAGGGAATCAGTGGCATGGAAACATGTAAGTGTGTAAATGTGTGTGCATGCATGGGCGTGCATGTGCAGAGAGAATAAGCAGGTGTCTTCTGAAAGCTACTTGCAGACTGTCTGCCTTGCTCTTAATGAGGCTGGGCTTCAGGAAGCCGCAGGTCAACAGCATTTGTCTTCTGGTGGCAAAAGGCAGGGAGGGCTGGACACAGTTCCGGCCCCCCAATAGACTTTGTCCTCCATGCAGGCGAAGGTGACCGAGGAGTGTTCGCAGTACGAGTTTGAGAATTACATGAGGCAGCAGCTCTTGCTAGCGGAGGAGAAGAACACGCTCCATGAGGCAAAGAACTTCCTGCAAAAGCGGCAATTTGGCAGCGTCCCTCCAGTGAGACGCCTTGGCCATGATGCCCAGCCCATGAACACCCTGGACGCCGCCGTTCTCGCACAGCGCTACCTTCGGAAGTAGCTCCCACAGGAGGCGGAAGTCACGCTCCACCTGCCTAGCCTGGCGCAAGAATTGGGGCTGGGCCTAGGTGCCAAGCAATGTAGCAGTCTTCCCTGCGTGCTGAGGGGTTTTTGCTTGCCGGGGTTGCCCCAAGAGGACAAGTGGAAGACACCTGGCTGGGACCAGCACCGGTGGATTTGAACTCTCATCGTAGACAGTAGCCTGCTTTTACTTATGACTCTGAAATCTACCTCTCCGCCTATTTTAACCACACTGTTCTCTGGACTGAAATGTAGAGTGGTTTTGGCAAAAGTTGTCCCAGCAGGCTCCTTTCCTAACACAAACGGAAAAGCAGGTGGATTGCATTTCGCTCCATACGGTTTGAATAAGCTTAATCATTTTTTTCTCCAATGTCCTTTACCCTGGGTTTCAAAAAGGTAACTCCTTCTTAAACCCATTTTTGTTCAATACTCTGGGTTCTGTTTTCAGTTTAAGCCCCAGGTTGAATTTACTTTGTGCAAGCATTAATTTGGGACCCCAGTGTGATTATGGTCTTGCAAATGTCTCATCTTTATTCTGAGTTTGTTGAACCAAGACAATTTATTGCAGATTCCAGCTAGGGGAAGTTTCAGCCCAGAGCTGTTTAAAATGTAGCTTTTCTGGAGGCTGGTCTCCAAGCCACTTAATTATTTTGGATCTCCTGGGTGTTCTGTTTTGGTTTTGATTTTTTAAAATGGTAGCTTTTGAAAAGTGCAGTAATGTTGCATTGATTCTGCTGATTTTTATCTCTTGCCCCATTAACCATGGAGGCATGTTTGAAGGGATAAATTTTTGATAATGTGAAAGAGGGGTAGTTGTCCCTTCCCTCTTCCTTCTACTCCATCTCCCACCTCTCCCCCCACTACAGACCTCACTTCAGTCCCCTCCATGTATGCTCTTGGCACGCTCTCACCTTTGTCGCTGGTCACAGCACTTACCTGTATGCACAGGTTGGGGGTGTGTGTGCCCTTTGCTCCAAGCTAGCATCAGCTGTGTGATGCCTGAGCCATGGGGGGTTTTTTGGACTGGATGCCTTTCTTGCCAGATAAGTCATGTCCTATGGAGATGATTCTGTCGCAGAGTCTCCAGTTTCCTTTTCTCATCCATCATCAGTTCATTTTCCAGCAGCATTGGCTCTTCAGTGTGCTGTCCTTTGGAAGACCTGGAGCAAGCCTGTCACGTCTTGGCGTGACATCTTCCCTGGAGGAGTGGTGGGGGTGAGCAAAAAAACTCTTTAGCGCATTCACCAGCAACAGAAAGAAGTGTGAGTGTGTTCGCATGATTGAAGTAGTACAAACAGATTTCTGACTGTTGCACAGGAGAAAAAAATACAGTCCAACAATGTTTGGAGATTTGGTGAAATCCAAATGAGGCTTAGCCTGTCATTTGGAACTGCTACACAGGACACAGATGCAGTTATCATGGTCAGTCTCTGGAAAATGGCATAGGAGCCTGCCTCAAGAGCTAGGTAGCCCCCCCCCACCCATGTTTTCTCTCTGCAGCTGTAGAATCTGGGCCATCAAGCAGGGTCTGTGGAGATTCTCAGTCATCCAGGCATGGTTGTCCCAAAGGTGGTTTTTTTTCCCCAAGAGGCAACTGGACTTTCTTGTTTTTTCTTTGAGGCACAGGCTCTTGTGCTTCAGTTTGAGATTCAGACGACACTGATTCATCCCCAACAGCCTGTGCCTGCTTCAACAGTGAAGGGACCCAGGGCAGAAAACATCCTGCAGCCAAGAAGGCTCCACACACATTTGTGCTACTCAGGTGAGCCTGAGGACACAGGTAAACCTCCAAATGATCCCAACAACTCTCTAAAAGGATGCAAATGACCATCTGTCTGCAAGGAATATAAATCCTTCCATTCCTCACCATCCAGACAGAGCTGAAGAAGCTTCTTGGATGAGAAGCGAAACGTCTTCAGAGAAAAAACAAGAAAGTCTAGTTGCCTCCTGAAAAAAAAAGCACTTTTGGGATCAAGCAGGGTCCTTTCCCAGCAGCTTTGTCCAGGGATGACAGCAGAGGTCAGGGGCAGCAGCAGCAGCCTTTGTTTGCTGAAATGGAAAGTTGTGTGCTTAGTTTTTGAGTTGCTTTTCCATAGCCTTTCCAGGAAACAGCCTTCCCTTCTCCTGGTGAGCCCTATGCAAGGGAGTCCCGAACATGATTCTCAAGTGTGAGAGAAGCATTTCTAATATGGATGTGGGAGACAGACAGACATAGACCTGTGGGAAAGCTCCCTCTGCAGGCAGGAGCACTTGGAGGCCTCGCCTGCAGCGCAGCCTTCCAGCCTGCTTTAAGTTCCACCCTAGGTTTATTAATCTTCCCATAGAAACGTTGGAAGCAGAAGTTGCCAGGGGAAGGAGCAACTCCAGAAGGGGTGATCGGGGGTCTTCCCAGGAGAGGAGCAGGAAGCTGTGTCAGGGGAGTCATCTCCCAAATCTTAGGAATGCTGACTTATCCCTCCAGAGCTCTGCCCCTTCCTACCTTTAATTTTTTCCCCCTTCCCCAAGATAGTTAATAATATGTCTGAAAGGTCTGGTCCTTCTCCCACTCTTGACAAAAATAGCAATACTCCATTGATGTAAAGTTGGGTGTTCCACCATCTGTTGCAATAAAAAGCTGATTGGAAAGAGATGGAAAAGGACTCGGGGGTGGGGTAAGGGCCAGGAAAGGGATGTTGTGAGCTGCTGGTTTTGTTGGGGAGCTGTCATGTTGGGTGAGACACCACAGACAAAATTCCTATTGTAAAAAAATTGCGAAGAACATTTGTATAGAGACTATTTTTGTATTACACCCAGCTAGTCCAGCATGCCAGCAATAAAATTTCATAATGTAGAATTCGTGCATTGAGAAGTCTGGTTATTATTCCAACAGTTCCCCCACCCCACACTTTCCAGGGTGGGATATGGAAAAGTTCTTTTGTAAGAGCTTTTCACTCATCTCTTTTAATAGCTGTTTTTGGCCTGTATCTCTGGGGAGGTATAGGTGGCAACACCCATCTCGAAAGCTATGGGCAGGGAGGGGGGGCAGTACTGTCACCTTGCCTTGTCCTGTCATGAAAAACTACCTGCTTTGCCCTGTCATGTAACCACCTAAATACAAGCAAATCCTTCTGGAATATCTGTGCACAGAAATGTACTCCAATTATGAAGATCAGCGTTGAATGGCAGTAAAAACACCAGAGAAATCCTCATTAAAGGACCTTGCTGTCCTTCACCGTTGTAGGATTGGGTCATATCGTCTGTATGATAATTACATATCTCCACCCCTAGTCAGATAGTTGTTGCTGTGGTGATGCTGGCCAAGTGCCTGGAGGCTGTAAAGGAGGAATACTGGCAAATGGAGAGGCTTTGGGGTTTTCTGCCTCTCTGGACCAGACGATCTTTCACTCTGGAGGGGGTGGTACTCCCCCAGATTGAATTGGTGAATAATTTAATGGTCTTTCTAGACTCATTGCTTGTGGGGTGGGGTGGGGAGGCTTTGTACAGATTCATCTGGTGCACCAATTATTTATTTATTTATTTATTTATTAAATTTCTACCCCGCCCTTCTCCCTGCGGACTCAGGGCGGCTTACAGCCTTTTAAAAAACAAGTACATAACTACAAAAATACCAAGTTATTATAAGGCCAATTATTATCCTTTTTTAAAAAATTATTTTAAAACCAAGTTAAAAATAACCCTTAGGCCAGTCCTGCCAGCTTAAATAGCCATGTCTTGAGGGCGCGGCGGAAGGAGGGGAGATCCGGAATCACCCGGATCTCTGGGGGTAGTTCGTTCCATAGGGTGGGAGCTCCAAC